TGGAGCAACAGTGAAATCTTGCCCATATAGAGCATTCCAGTCATCCATGTTCAAAACTGAATTGAAGAGAGTCTTCAACGGTGCATGCAACTTCTCCACTTCGAAGTCGGCCTTACGCACCAGTCCGCACAACTTAAACGCATTTGCAATGTCTTCCTTTGTTTGTGTTTTCACCCACTCACAGACCCAGTCCGCCACCATTTGATAAGAAGGACATTTTGGGTTGTCAGCCGTGGTCTGAAAACCGGTGTCCTCAATTGCCACTTGAATGTATGCTTCGTACTTCTGAGCGTAATGCTGCTGGAAGGATCAGTTGACGCAAACATCAAGCGGTTGGAGCACACTGGTCAAGTTCGGTGGGATGATCAACACATGAATGTTCTGCCTCTGCAGTCTTGTGTTGTCACGCAGTTTCAGGTGCGGACCATAACTGTCCATGAGAAGCAACACATGTTGTCTCTCAAACGCTGTCTGACGCCTGCACTCAATCGTATCCTTGAGGTATGATATGATCGTGTCATCACTCCACATGCCAGAGTTGTTTACATCAACAAGGACTGATCCGCTTACCGCTGGCTTGTTCTTCAACTTGGAAAACAAGAGGTGAGGTTTGAAAACCTCACCTGCGAGGGAAATTGTAAATGTCGCCGTGAATCTCTTGTGGGACGTGCCTCCCTTGCGAAGAACCACTTGGCGGCTCCCACGCTTCACCAGTGTCATTGCAGGCTCAGTTTCAAAATATCTGGGTACTTGGTCCATGTTCAGTACATTTGCTGGCACAATCTGGTATTTGTCGATGAGTTCATGTACTTGGCCAATAAAGGCTCGGCATGAATCAGCTGCATCATCAAGTAAGGACCTCGTTGTTGTTTGYCTGCGAGACACAAAATTCTTYCGTTTCTTRAACCTGCACATCCACCCTCCAGACGCMGTGAACTCAACATTCTCATCTACCTTCCCACTCTCCTTCATTTGCTGAAAGATGACTTGTGCCTTTGCTCGAATGTATTGCTCTCTGACACGCAGTCCTTTCTTGTTTTTATCAACCACCCACGCCTCCAGTTCGTCTTCCAATTCTTGGTGTACGGCTTTCCTACCTCCCCCGGCCAGTCGCCGCTGTGTATGACTCGTTGTCTTCCTATCTGAAAGTGTCTCCTTCAGTTCTTTTGCATTCAACACCCACTTTTGCAGTCTTGATTTACTGACATTGTGCTTCTTAGATATGCAGTCCAGCCCCTTCCCTTCCACACCGGGCTCATAGTCATGCAGAGCGTCAAGCTTCATCTTGATTGTGTAAGATTTCCTCTGCAGTGTCTCCTTGCTGTCGGGCGCTGCTGCATCTTTATTTGTATGGACCATATTCACAGATAAGGCTTCGAATGTGTCCCTACCTCCCCACTCTTCCCTTTATTGGACGATAACCTTCTCAAGTCCTTGGTTCCTCTCAAGGAGATGACCTTCCCAGGTCATCTATCCCTCTGTTGCCCGCTCCCTTCAGGTCATAGGATCACAGTGGCAGTGGCCTAAACCCCCCCCCCCCCAAAAAAAAAGCCCGCCTTCCTCCAAAAGGAATGACGAACGAGTATCTCTCAAGTAAGTATAACTTAATGTGGCCCTCTTCAAGGTGTGGGATCACACCAGACCTCGCCTCCAAGGCAGAAGAAAAAAAAAAAAAAACTTCGTCCTGTCACCAACAAATAACTACAGACATGACACGTGAAGTCAAGTATGCCCGTCTTCCTGTACCCCGACAGCCAGCAGGTAAGTTGCAGGTAAGCAAGTACAACTGAAGTCTCTCTCTCTCTCTCTCTCTCTCTCTCTCTCTCTCTCTCTCTCTCTCTCTCTCTCTCTCTCTCAATGATTTGAGACTGGCGCTGGCCTCCTAAGGCAAGCAGAGCTGCAGTCCAGAATGCCGACCTTCAACACCTATTGCAAGCAGGTAAGTTAAAGGTAAGTGTCACGTCTCTCTCTCTCTCTCTCTCTCTCTCTCTCTCTCTCTCTCTCTCTCTCTCTCTCTCTC